AGCTATAAATCCGGACAGGAAAAAAAGCAGGCGATCCAGCAGAGCTCGCTAGATTTCATCTCCACTCGAGGCGGAGAGAAATTAAGAGTGAAGGACGGCTACCTGTGGCGCTGCCAGGTGGCCTTGGTCACGTGGGTTCGTGACGTAAGGGGTAAAAGAATCTTGAGGTCATGGGGCTTCCCCTGACCTGGATTCTATCTCTCCGTCACCGGCAGAATTGCTGATTAATGCCTACAGTTCAAAATAGTCATTTTGACTGACCGGAGTCTATGGTGGGTAATTGAACGTAGTGAATTCCACTGTATTTAATATCATGTGAATAAATATAGAATAAAAATTAGAATAGTCTGCCAAGATGCTTTACAATTGCAGAGGTATGTAACATTACCTGTGTGGGAAATTTTTCCAGTCGTGATGTCAATTTTTCATAGTCTGCGAGAGTATTGAACTTCATGTAGGATACAGTCTTCTCAAAATCAAGATGAGGACCTTCTAAAAAGTTGACTGGATACAAATAACTGCAGAAGTAGTTGAACAATATGTAAAGAAAAATGATCGTCAATCAGCAAATGGTTTATTTTTAGTGTATATAAATAAATGTATTGCAGACATGCTGTAGATGTCATATCAAACTTGACATGATGACCACCTCGCTTTAATAACTTTTTTTTTGTTCAAAGCATGGGAGTCATCACCTGTGCATGGGGCAGACGACTATAGTGTGTCATTGTTTACAAACAAGCACATACCCATGAGCCTTTATGTTTTTAGCATGCGTTGTTATCATCGCTTAGGACTCAGTTTCTGTGTATGTGCAGGAAATGACCCCATCGCTTTAAGTATATGTGATTATACCAACACACATTATATCATGGGGTTGTAATTTAAAGCAGGAGGGTCATCACCTGCGCACACACAGGAATTAAGTCCCATGCGACTATAACAACACACGCTAAAAACGCAAAGGCTCATGGGTAGACACTTGTTTGTAAACAAAGACACGCTATGGTCATCTGACGCACGCACAGGTGACGACTCCCCGCTTTAACTACAGTACCGGTATATAGGGTTGTGTTTTAATTAAGTTTAATACAGTATGGTGGCCTACCCATTTTCTATACCACTAAACAAATATTATCATAGTACCTACATTTTTGTTAAAAAAAAAATATTTGATTGATTAATCAGGTTTATTCTTTATTTGACAACAACATTTTCATGTGACAATTGACAAGTAGGATTCTATTTCTAGAGTTTGACCCATGCATAGGTCGACATAGCATATCATTTGATGGCTATTTTGTTAAACTTCCAAATTGGTCATTGCCAAATTTAAGATTAACTCCTATTAAACTAACAAATTGAACATCTTTGTATACTACCGGTATTGGCACAACAAACATGTACCTTTCATCATTATGAATAAAATATTTTGAAATTTCAAAAAGGTGGCTGATTGGCTGATTGAATAACATTGGATCTTTGCACACTGCACTCATTATTTGCCCAGTTGGATTCAACTGCCATTGAAATTTATAAATATTTATAGAGATAAAGGGAACAGGTTTGTTGTGCAGAGAATATTTACATCTCTGTGACTTAATATAAACATTTAATTTCTACAATCAATATGACAAACAGCCCCCACCCCCCTTTCCAGGACCCTCCCCTAGATCTGTCACAACTATATATGATATTGTCATTGATCTTACCCTTTGTATCTCATACCTTCCAGGTACATTTTAATGTCTGATTTCAATATCAACATGTTCATTTCATCTTCTGCATTCTGTGTACCATTCATTACATCGTTTATTCTAGATAAGAAGCTCCGACAATCAGTCTAAAAACAAACACACACACAATTCATGTAGGCTTAGAAATAGTACTTCTGTCAGAATTTAAAAAAAGAAAAGAAACAAGCCATTGTAAATGTCACATCTCCCTCTCTTCTCATAGTTCAACATTTGACAAATGAAATGTCAGTATGTACAGTTTGAACTAAATTGGCCACAGCATGCATAAATAACCACCATTCAGCCATTTTTAGTGGAAATACAAAAAAATGTACATTATCAGGCACCCAGCAAATAATACCATCATACCAAATTTAAAACAAATCAGTCCAAGCAAAGGAAGTACAAAAAATTACATTATAGTGAATATTTTTTTTTTAATTTGAGTGATTGAACATAGAAAAAATTTCATTTATGTGGTTAGACACATTTGCCTGTGTACCAAGTTTGAACCCACCTGGGCAGTAAGAATTTGATAATAAATAATAATAACTAATAATAATTATTAAGCAAACAATTACCGTAAAAATGGCTGATAGTAGACAATCATCTGAACAGAAAAAAAATCAAGGGCATATGTATACCATCAGGGGGAAAATCGGTTCATTGCGACTGATGGACGAACGAATGAACGAACAGAGGAAACTCAATTCATAAGCCAGCCCTGTGTCCAGTCTGGGGCTGTAAATGGCATTGGTGTAGTATAAGGGTGTGTGATAGTTTTGTTAATATTTTTAACTGCATAAAAGAAGAAATTATGATAGGTTAGGGGGTCATAAGTTGCAAGTGTTCAGTTACGTTGAGTTAGCGTTTGAAACATTGTTTAAATAATAATTATTCACAAGCATAATATTCAGCACAAATTTCATAACAAATTCAAAAATACAAATAAAGGCAGCATGGTGATTGTATCGGAAGATGTATAGCTACAATGTAATGTACAATGAAACTGCATGATTACCGGTAATAATATGCAAATGGTTTGCATACATGAAGTATAGCATGTGCACGAATACATGTATTATCTACTAGAGTTTATTTAAAGTGATAAAACACACCATCACCATTGTGTGACCCACTCACTTTCTTTGACCTATTTTACTGGATGCCATTTGTAATAAAGCCACCTATTAAGAATAAACACAAGTACACACATATTTTAATTTTTTTGTAATTTTTTTTGAAACGCAGAATTTGGCAGAATGAATTTTTGAAATGACTACGATGTATATAAATTAGTGTCAATGTGATAGTTGGTGCGAACGTGAGGATCTCACTTAGTATCAATATGAATGTAAAATATGAGGATTTAAATTTAAAATTTGAGAAGTTAAATATAAAATATGATAAATGAACTTACATGTATTTAATATCTATCACCCTTCAGTTATTTCAAAACCGCAAGTTTGAACTTAGCAGATTTGAACATAGCGAGCTTAGGTGGCGCTTTTCTGAACATACCCCGGTAATATGTAAATGATCATGAACATGTTTCATGCTACATGAGTGATGGGTCCCATTGGCCAATTGTACGGTGAGCAATATGCCACAGAAGGGGCAGTAAACTGAGCCCAATACACATTAGTCCCACACTTAATTTTTTTTCCATCAAAAAACATGGCAGTCTGGAATCGCGAGTCACTGCCTGTTGGAAAATTTTATATGGCAGGTGACAATGCATTGACACATTGGGGTATACGATTTGAGCGACACTCGTGAGAAACGTTTCTTCACAGTGGATTCCTATGACTAAAATTACTGCCCTGTATCCTGTATGTTTTTATTTTTACCAGCCTGAATTTTCATCTCGAGCTGGTGAAAATAAAAACATACATGTTATTCAGACCACTTTTATCTCCTTCTATTAAGCAGAGTGATTTGATGTGCATTTAATGGGAGACATTTAAACTGATGTGTATATGCAAGGCAATTAACTTTCTGGCACGGCTGCATGGTGAAATTGTAAAGTTACCTGCCCTGTGTTTAAAATTTTGAAAAAATTTTAAACACTGCAGTTAATGTCATAATGCTTGTGATTTTTGATCTGTTTCATGTTGGGTGAAGTGACTTAACTGTTATTTTTGATAAAATGGTATTGCATCTATCAGAATATTGATAATATACTACTGGGTATCATCAAATACTAAGCAAGTTTAGAACAAGTTTTTAGAAATATTGGGAAAACCACCCTGACATAGGTAAAATATAAAAACAATGGTACTAGATAAGATTACACAACTGTGGTTCATTCCTTGTGCTATTAAAATAACCTCACGAGTACTTGTGAATAATTGGGATACATGTAACCATCCTAGCCACGTTCGTCATATTCATAAGAGGTGGATCATTAGAAATTCTGGAAAGGGAATGGAAGAAAAACTGCAAAAATTATTTTTTCCTTCACATAGATTTGTACTGTATTTTTTTTCATTTCCATGATGAATTTTTTTTTATATACTTTGTGCAATACTTTTTTCTCTAAGATTTAGGCATGCATTTTTGTTTCTGTTTTTGCTCCCTGCAGGATTTTTTCCTGTGCAAATTATTGTTTCCGAATTTCTACCATCGCCCACATAGTTCCTAATGGTCAACTCCTTAAAGATAAGTAAAAGGAAATAAAAATAAATCAGTTATCTGTAGTTTATCGTGTAATGCAATGTAATGTTTTGGTATCCAAATTGTTTATCTTTCTTATTCAATGTTTGTCTCTAATCGCTAAGATGATTTTGATGTTTCAATAACCCTGGCGGATATCTGTTGGGTGAGTTCACATGTTGTTGTCCGGATTTGGCTATACATACGTATAACATACATAATGACACACCATACGCAATCACCAGAAAATTACCAGACATTGGTTATGTCATTGTATACTGTAGTTATTGAATTAGTATCCAGAACAGCTACTAAAATAAACAAACTGAGAATAATCAGCCCTACACCATGTCGCATGTTTCGAAATGATAAAAAATTCCACTTTATACAATAATGGGGCAAAACACGTACGTGCACATGGCAACTGAGCTGTGGCAACGAACAAAATGCGGCAGCATAGAGGTGCAGGAAGTGGGTCGTAACATGGAGTCAAAATAGCTCACTTCTAGCACTGTGCTTCTAGTTATTATGGCCACATATTACCTGGCGCCTTTCAAATGAGTCCAAGCTATGGTCGTCCAGTTGGTCATCGTAGTCATGAAAACCCGCCATAGTGGCAAATTCGGGACTTTCTTTGATTCTCCATTCCCAGAAATCGTCTGCTAATTTTCTTGCAGCTGTTCGTCGACTGTCCGCCATATTGAAAAAATGACTCCTCAACTTGATGGAATTGGGTATTCTCCTTCCCAGAGTCCTTGCGCAATTTCACACACGATTTCAACGCGCCGGATCATACCATTATCAAAGGGGTACAAGTTGGTATACATTGCAAAAAATTTGTTTTTTTAAATGAAATAGGGCTTAATTAAAAAAAAACAAAAAACATATTTTTAGCAATGTACTTATTTTACTTTTATTTCAACTGAACTTTCTGTTCGTTTTACTTTTTTATTATCATAATTTTACTCTTTATTGTAATTTTATGTATATCTCAAAAGAGTTTTGATAACAATAAAGTTATTATTACAAACGGGAAAATGTTTTGTGTATTATAAATACCCCTGTCATGACAATTTTAACGAGTTTGTAAAATCTCTCGCATTGACGCGAAATAATTTCTCGTCGGACCACGATTTAAGAAATATTATAAAATTGCCACAGCTGGGCCAGACTTACGTAAAACATCATGATGGAGGTAAATTACCTCCATGCGTATGCAAACAAATGTACATTACTTGGAGCATGCTTGGAGAAAGTGAAAGCAATTTTAAAAATACACATTTCACTTATTGGTAATTACATGTAATGTATGTTATTATTTAAAGTACACGAATGTTTGTCAAGAACCCTGTTACCACGATACATTGTTCCCGAAAACTAGTAATTTTGATTAATCGGAAATGGTTTATACAACCACAGTGCCTCCCACAGCATTATTGAATTCTTAGTTTGACATGAACGACCGAAAGTCTTGTATGATACCGGTGCATTCACTTAGCGATTCATAATGTTTAGAATGTAAAACTAGTCATTTTGTGGGAGAAAATTAAAACAAATTAATAAACGTATTACAAATCTACAGTATGACAAATTGAATAATGCTAATATGGTAGCTCGTTGGTCTAGAGGTATGATTCTCGCTTTTGGTCCGAGAAGTCCTGGGTTCAAATCTCGGACGAGCCCATATTTTAAGAGTCAATGAGAAACTTATTTGCAAATTCCTCATGAAAAGGAGGCATTAACGCGAAATCCCCTGTAACCGCGAAATCACTCCAAATAACTGAAAAAAATCACCACAGCTGGGCCAGTCTATCGTCACACCATTCAGAGCACTGGCAGTTGATAGAGAAAATGTTGGGTTAATGACGTCCTAACGAATTTCGAACAGCATGTGAATCGTAATTTGAACAAACCATGACTAACATGTTTGTAAATTCAGTATTTAAAAAAAATATTCGTTCCAAATAATGTTGGTGTTTAGTCAATCTGATTAAAATAAGATTCTAGTTTGGGCTTTTTTTTCGTGGGCTTTCGCGATTACCAAAACTTAAAAAAATACCAGCAAATAAATTGAAAAAATAATAAAATATATGAAAAAAATGTGAATGATGTTATATTAACAAAAAAACGAAAAAAACAAACAAAAATAACTAGGGCTTATTTTAATCAGATTGGTGTTTAGTTGAATTATTAATAGCAGATAATACAGTTTTTGTAAGTATATATGTTTATGGTATTCCACTATAATACTAGTAAATGACGACCAATCGTTTTTGAACAGCGTAATATGAAATACTTTATTTTAGCTGGAATCAATTTTCACTGAAACTTTTTAGGTGTTTTGTATGGAATTTATTTTCACTGATTTTTGGCGAGTGGAATGTAAAATATAGGAAAAAATAGTATATTCGCTGGATTTTATTTTCACTGAATCATTACTTCAGCGAAAATAGCGAAAATAAAGTGTTTTACAGTATATGAGATTATTTGAGATTTAGTGATGCGAGCTTCCTCGGATTGTTATCATTTGCTGCAGTTTATGCAGCTCTCTTGGTCGTGGTATACGTTGCGGGCGACCAGCGGCCAATAAGAGCTGCTAAACTGCAGCAATCTTATCATCTACTTTATCTCTGAACAACTGGTGAGCTCGATCTAGAATACACTTCACTGTCACTTACTACGGTGAAATAGCAAATAATTTTATAAGTTGTATTAAAATGTGAGTTTAACAATTATCCGCCTTTTTGTTAAAATGCGAAAAAATCCAAAACAAAGTACATATTACCCCCATGATATTAAATCGAAAACCGATTGTTACTCGACTGGCCTCTTGGGCGAGAGAGGTTCAGAATCGGTGACGCGCAGACACGTAGTAATACCGCGCGCGTAGAGTGGCGTCGGCGAAGAACAGACGCTAATGAGAGCGCCGCCAGTGTTCATAGTGCAGGTAACTTGGTAACGCGATTGACGATTCTAAAGTTTCGAATACGGCGAAAGTCATTTTGTGTTCTGCTTTCTTGGCGAAAACATTGCTCTGTATATCGTGCAGACTTCATTGCTTTATTGTTGTACACTTTACTTTATTGCGTTCATTATGGTTTGCAAAAAGATTGTGAAAACTGACGAAACTGAGGTAAGTTTATGAATTAAGTACTGCGGAAAGGTTATTTGTCTCTGATAATGGAAATAGTGTTCTCTGATGCTTGAATTTTTCGTAACGTGAAAAGGTTTGAAAACTAAACGATATGTCTATTCACTCCTCTATAAAACTTTACATCCATATTTACCTTTATTTCAAGGATGGCGAGCTTCTTCGTCAGGGATATCTTTACATGCCAAATGATTCCGAGAATGTTAACAAAAGAAGAAAGTGGAGACGAGTTTTATGCAAATTGTTTGCGCCGTGTCACTTGGAAATTCATACGGTAAGACTATTTATTTATTTATTTATTTATTTATTTATTTATTTATTTATTTATTTATTTATTTATTTATTTATTTATTTATTTATTTATTTATTTATTTATTTATTTATTTATTTATTTATTTATTTATTTATTTATTTATTTTTTATTTTAGCACCGGGGTGCTATTATCTACCTTAATCTTACTGAATATTCTGTGGTATCGAATTTAGAGAGTCTGACTCTGAGACACACAGACACTGACAAACCACATGTAAGTTTTCATTGCAATATATAGATGGAAGACGAACCGTGACGTGAAGCTAGGCGATTTGATGTCGTACACGAGCGTCGGTTCGAGTTTACTTAATTCAACATAGTATTAACAACACCGTGTATCCTGTGGCATTTCCTACTTATTCAATGTATTTAAAACAATTAATTAAACAAGCATAATGTCATTATCTATTTTTTTACAGAAATGTGTTACCCTCAAAGCAAGCTCGCACTTGAGGTATACGGCCTGGCGTAAATGTCTCAAGCACGCTCACAGGGTGGGGCACGTCAAAGAAGATCAACGGCAACTATCGACTTATGGCGACGGCGAGAAAGAACCTGGTGAAGTTGTTGTAAGAGTTCAATCTGCTGAGGAATCTTCTGACAGCCAGGATAGTGACACGGATACAGACAGCGACGAATTAATTCGTGTTACTGAAAGAATGGAGAGACAAATGGAAATGAAAATCCCAATTAGGGAATCGTCGCACTTAGAAACTACTGATAACTATTATAGATCAGAACCCAAAACAGTCATCGGTGATAATTGCAATGAGAATCAAGGTAGATATACTTGCAATGGTATATTATTGTGAATATCGCATAACAACAATGAAGTTGATATAATCCCTGAGTTGTCCGAGTTGTCTCCGAGTGGTCCCACGAAACGAAGGGATAATATTATTCCCGAGTGCACCCAGCAACAAGGGAGATAATATTACCCTGAGTTGTCCCAAGAACAAAGGAGATAATATTATCCCTGAATGTTCCCAAGAAAAGAAGAGTGGTCCAAACAACAAGAGGGATAATATTATCCCTTAGTGGTCCCAACAACGAAGGAGATAATATTATCCCTAACTTGTTTGCAAGAAAAGAAAAGATAGTATTATCCTTAGTGGTCCCAACATCATGAGGGATAATTTTATTCAAGTTGTGCAAAGAACGAAAGAGATAATATTATCTCTGAGTGGTCGCAGTAACAGAGTTAGTAATACGTGTTATTTAGTGATTTTAAAAAATGTTTTGGTAAAATTGTCACGGTACTGTTTTGATTATCATTGCATTTTCATTTTTCATATATTACTTTTGAATTAAGTTTGTTTTGTTTCTATCTTTCCAGAAGATTCTCCATTTCGAACAAAGGTGAAATCAAACTTATTAGGACGGGTCAGAAACGCGTTTGTCAAGATTTTCAGGCGAATGAGTAAGTAGTGGGACGTTATTCTGAGTATACTGTGAGAAAACATAATAATTTGTCTCTTGAACCAACAATCATGATGATTTTGTGTTTGTTTTTTTCAGACTGTGTCAAGGCATCAGATACATTATAGTGATACACCGACTGAACAATGTGGCTACAATTGAACGCCATCGTAACAACATTCCTGAAACACGGGACGAAACCCGACAAGCACGTGTGTTGGGAGGGGTACACGTCCACGTGATAGACATACGTCACAGTTAACACTGAATCAAACATGCTGTGTATGTACATGGTATGGTCACGTGACTGGAACTTCTTGGGTCGCGAAAACTGGTTGACTATAGAAGACTGATGGCACTGTTACTTTCTTTGAGTCTATTCAAAGCTGTATCCCTCGTGGGACAAAATATATATTGTATACAGCAATAAATGATATACTACTGAAGTACTTTGTTGTGTGAACTTTGTTTTTATATTTGAACATTATGAGTTTATCCCGGAGTGGCCCACTGACTACTAGATTACAAAGAACACGCAGACCAGGATATCCAAATGTATATATATATATATATATACTATGTATACTAGACAGTCCGCTAAAACTTAGACAAACAACCAACAAACTAAATGGTTGTGTGAGGCTAAATGTAAGGATATGAGTTGATCATAATGTACGCATACAAGGGCGGGGTTAGTGTCTTTATCTTTGCTAGGTACGATCATTGTACCAGCATCGACTTTCTTTGTGAGAATTTTAAACATATATTACATTACAAATCCGTTGAATTCTACTTTGGACAAATCTACCATTATTCCTTTTTTAAGATTTGCCAGGGATACGTATATATTGGGAAGTACTTGTTGACAGCTAAATCATTCCACGTCCGTCACTGATAAGAAGCGTTAATTACCGTGATTGGCCTGATCCGCCCTTTGCGAAGCGCCGTGGGTAGAGTTGCATACAGTCTCTTGCTTGTGTTTTTTTTTTTATATGTGAGTGTATAAAAGTCGGGTTATCGCGATTTAATCACTCATAATATTTTATTTTATTGAAGAAAAAAAACACACCAAAAACGAACAAGAGACTGTATGCCAGTCTACGCCGTGGGCAGAACTCAGATAACTAATATTAATAAGGGCAGAATGAAGGAGGTGTGGCTAGTCAAATTTAGGGTGCTCACTGATTAATTTGTAAAGTGACAAAACAGTGTATAAATACATATAGTTGTAAACAGATAACAAAGGGTAGTTAATTTACCGTCACTGTACTGTTACTAGAACAATGATTGGTCGAGCCTCAGACCACTAATAATAGTGGTCTGAGGTAGAGCTTATTCACGGGGGACTTCTACTTTTTTTCTATCTTCGAATCTAACAAGGTTCCCAATGAATTTTGACCAATGTTCAAGTAATCAATATAAATTTGGCAAACAATCAGTACTCTGATTCTCATAGTTGTAAGAACGCGTTTGTTATAAATCCATTATATACTATTATATATAGTCGGAATGATGAACCATGGACTTGCAATCCCGGAGTCCAACTAATAATCCATATATAGTATACATATATCATTCTCCTGAATTTATTCCTAAGATGAAGTGAACTTTGGCAACATGGCATATAATCATAATGTTAACATTTCGTTCATAGTCCATGATTCTAATGAGATAGTGTAGATCTTCTGACCTTTGAGTACTCATGACAATACTATGCTAGAAGTGTTTTGAATTGATTTAGACAGATAGACTGTGGCCATGCTACACATGGAGGTAACATGGAGAGTGACTGTGTCTCCATGTTCAACAAGACTGCTTTGCAATTTCCATATGTCCCCTGGTAGTTGACGATCTAAGCTTAAAATAGTTCTCCTTATCAACTCTAGACGTCTCTCAACAATAGTGGTCAGCATTTACAATATAGGTGAACATTTGATCGTAATACGTGGTGACACTATCAGACACAGAAAAATTATTATCGGGGTTAATGTACGTTGTATTCAGATTGGCTCGTTGGTCTAGGGGTATGATTCTCGCTTTGGGTGCGAGAGGTCCCGGGTTCAAATCCCGGACGAGCCCGATTTTGTCTTTAAATGCGAGATATAAAACAGACAGCTAATTTGAAAATTTACATTATCCTCGTATTTCTTTGACATACGATTCCAGTTTACGCTGTTATTCACAAAGTCTGGATAAAAAAATTATTTTAATTTGCATATTGCTTATCACATTTTTAATCACAATATAATTTCAAGTGAGAGTTTTATTTTACATGGTCTGATCTGTTCGGTTTCTCAAACTTGATGTAAACACACTTACCTATGTGAATAAAGTACTGCTAATATAAATATGATAGTTATATAATTTGCATATTATTTAACTCATTTTAAACAGTTTTGAATACCAGTATCCAACTAAGAAATGTTTGTATGTGTATCTCAAGCAGTCAATTACAATTCAAGTTTTGCACTGGCGCATGGTAACTAATTAATGTGAAATTTAATTGATGAAAAACTGTTGATTTGGGTAAAACAATTTTAATTAAGGTATAAAACTAAACATATAGACCATACCTAAATCAGGGTAAATCCGATCTCCAAACAAAAAGCATCTAACACAGATAGATTCACCATTTTGTGGACTTTCTTGAAATTCTTCAATACGTAATGCATATGCCGTTATTACCACTTTTGAAAAATTATGCTCTGTTATTTTCCAAGAAAAAATCTCCAGTATGAAAGTTAGGAAGTTGGATTAAACATGATTTCAAAATTAACATTATTTTGAATATCTACTAGATCTAGAAGTTTTTTTTCTGTATCAATGCCTGAAAATGAAAATGCTATGAGTCTTAGATATTTGATAGCTAGAATACGATCCTATTTGTTTATTTTGTGATAATATTTGACTTCTAAACTGAGAATCAGTGTTTTCATCACATGAATATAAAACAACAAACCCATTAATTATTTCTTCTTCAATCACATAAAAACTAGTTTCACTGCATTTCCTGATCATGATCCACATAATAATTCAATGCAAAAATAGGCATTTACATTCAACAAGATTAATAACACTCTACATTCCAAAACTTTAACATCATTTCCTGCAGTCAAACTTATTTGATTTGGATCAACTCAAATTTTTTTTTCTAATGTTACTACACCACCTGTCGATAACGACCATTTTAATTAAATTCTTTGAGTGTTCGCCATAGACAGGTTTGACTGTACATAATAGGGTATTAACTGAGGTATAATTATTAATAAAATTTCTCTATAGTTATTGATCCAGTACTTCTTAAATTCAAACTTAATTGATCAGACAACGAGCTTCTTATAAAATGCCAAAGACCACACTGTGTAATGCAAATATTTGTTTATTCAGTTATAATTCATAACATGTAGTGTATGAATGTTTCTGAAATGAAATCACCTAGGTGTAATGTGACTGAAGCTTGAAGCTTGTGAGAAAATGAGAATGATAAAAATCTTATTACAGTCTCCATCAATCAGCGGAGAGAATATTAGTAACAGTTGCCAATCCACACTAGCAAAACGATAGCACCCCTCAGTCATCTCTGTTGGAAAGTGTCTGAAACAGTCACCAATTGGCACTGGCAGTGAGAGTCTGTAACTATTGCTGTGATATGCATTTCATACTCCGCCACGGAGTTCCCCGATTCTACTGGACGTTGATGGAACAGTCTTTGGATCGTATCCAATTCTTTCCTGTATCTCCTTTTGTCTAGTCTTGCTATCTGAAACACTGTCCGCCCCCACAGGCTCTTTTTCTTTTTTCTTCTTTTCAATTTCTTTTTTTACAGCATCAAATTCTTTGAGATCCTCAAGATTCATTTCAATTCGTGTTGGTCCTCTCTTAATCATCTTAACAACCTTAAAATGCAAATACAAAGTTGTTTTATCATTTTAAATAATATCAATAATATTGGTACTTGCAGTGTTCTCAAGAATAGACACACATTATGCAAGTAATGTCATATCACAATTTTTTGATCTATAAAAATCAGAAAGTGAGTTGTGTGTTTCCCTGTTACTGTAAAATCTGTATTAGAAGCCACATCCCTAATAGAAGTCGCACCCATTTTTTTTTGAAAAGTTGAGAATCAAAAATTCATCATTTCTGAATCTCATATGTGTAGATGCTCTAATAGAAGCCGTATCCTCTCTGATACCATTTTAATAGAAGCCGCAGCTTCTAATACAGATTTTACAGTACTGAACGCAATTAAAACCAGCTGCAAGGGGAAAAAATGATTCACTCCAATAATCCAATTACAAATTATTAGATTCTGTTGGCACAAAGCCACAGGAGTAACTATTAAATTTGTCTTTATACATAGTTTTACTCTTGGTGTAACAAAGGGATTCCTCCACTTTTATAAATATCACAATTCAAACTGAAACGAGAGGTTTTTATTGGCCGATTCAATAATATTTGAACGATTTCATATTACATCAATGCACACTTGTTTTGGTTTGTTTCAACTGAATTGTGATTTGTGAATATTTATCCAGATGAAGGAATGCCTTTATTATACATGCATCATAAAGGGGAAAATATTTCATTTCTGTTATCTACCAGTACTATTACACTGGACAGTCACCCTAGGTATCCCATCATTACACCAGCTAGTCACACTAGGTATCTCATTATTATACTGTCAGTCATCTTTACTCATCACCCCCAAACCCCTGGATGTAGCCGAGTTGGCGAAATAATTGTAATGACAATATTTACGCCCTTTGGAATTGACTGACAGCCAACACTGTTATACTAGTAATGCATACTTGTGACTTCTGATGAAACAATTTAACAGTTAGTGAAATTCCCGAGTCTATGTACTTAATCACTATGTTTTATAGTTTTGCACAACCATGAACCACAGCACGAGCCCATGTGCACCACAGTCAGATTATGTAAGGCACCTCCACGGCACAACGAATCAAAACCATAACAATTACATCTGAGGGTACATTTAAAATTCGATTTTCATCTCAACACATAATCAAATAACTGTGTCAGTATTGGTGAGCATCAACAGATAGATACACTGACTAGATAAATCACATACCTTTATTTATGCGTGGAACATCAATATCAAAAACTGGCAACCCTACAAACAACCCCATTCACTGCACTTGTCATGCAAGAAAAACACGATCGACTTTTAGAACAACGCCCCCAACGACGAAAACTTTGACGTAGTGACTCGGTAACCTCATTTAAAGGTAAGCCCAATAGTCTTTAATAAAATAATATCACTATTCGTCTCGCTCGGCTGCATTAAATAACGATATTGGGCAGTATTGTTTTTATTTAAGAGATATCAAATGGCAGTAATTTTTGTAACCGGAAGTTGAGAGGGATGCCGGGATACAAATGGCTGCCTCCATGAAAGCAACGAGTTGATCGGACGTTGATTACCATTGTATTCACTCGTTACTAGCTGCTTGATTACATAGCTACAGTCCACCAGAAAGGTAGATATTCAACGAATAGCGCTTTAGAGGTACTCTCAATTTTGGTTTATTCAATTTCACCTGTTACATTTGTATTCTTAGACTTCATATTTACGTTTGATACGATAATAACTGTTTCTATCAATTTATGTACAATGAATGAATGATAACATCACATGCAAGTGCAAAACATGTGATCAGGTTACTACCATCAGATGTGCCCCTTGATCATTCGGACAAGTGTAATACCGTATTTCCTCTGTTAGAAGCGCATCACCAATAGGAGTCATAATGCTCCAGTCAATGTCAACCCCCACCCTCTTAGTGGTGGATTTGGAAAGTATTGTTGTCAAATTTGCCAAATGCCCCATCTCGTGGGGCAAGAAAGATAGGCAAATCCCCACCCAAAACAAACCTCTCACATTTCCCCCACCAATCACCACTGGCACTGTCCACCATGCTTGCTATCCGCAGAGTACTCAATTAACGTAAACGTATGCACAGCTAGCGATGATGGGACACGAAACACGGCTGTTACCCCATCTCCACATGCACAGTTTGGCGATAAACCTTGTCTAATGCCCCACATTTTTGTTAGTATTTTTGTATACAGTTGTCTATGTTTCCTGCATCCTACATGCATGGAAAGCCATTATTTCTACATTTCTATCAAAAAAATGTGAGTAATACTAGTATACACATGCATCTGAAGTAAACTATGAGTAGTTTGCTGTACAGAAGTATCTAACAAGTTATCGGGAATAACTTTTATAGTGACATCATATTGTCCTCATTTCTAAAAATGGCTGACGCCGGAGTTACATGTGGTTTGGAGCACTAAATTCCGGGAAAAGGAACACCAAACTAATGGGTTTTGTCATGGTTTTATTTTTAAAAATAACAAAATTTGTTAATTTAATGACACTAAATGTATCAAAAATTGCTTATATACCATTGCAAAGACTAAATACCGACACAAGAAAAGCTATGGACATTAATCCTTCAGATTTACAATTTTTTCCAAAATTAATCATTTCCAGAAATATATTTTAATGACTGACTAGCGTATATATTGCAGCCAAGCACTTTATTGAAATTACTAAAATAAAACTGACGTAACCATAGAACATTGAGGCACGTGAAATGCAGAAATCCAGTTATTAGTTCATGCATGAGTTGAGTGGGATTCAAGATGGCGACATTTAGGATTTGTGTTCTGCCACTGATCAAAATAACCCAAATCACTATTCTAAGTTGAACTATTTGCAGTCTGTTGCCAGAAATTAATTGCATCATCATTAAACAATATTTTGCTAATGTTTAATCATAAATAAGCTGTTTTAGCTTTTCGTAATTTGAAAAAAAAATGGCGGCGCCTATTGACCGGAAATCTATCGTTTTCAAATTCTTAGGGTATATAGATATCTTCCATACTCTTCTATATATACAAATGTTATCTATAGAGCTCGCTTTCGGGCAGCTTTGGCTACCACAATTTGGTACAGAACATTACATTGCAAAATAAATTTATTTTTGGCAAGTGCTGGGATCATTGCGACAGGTTTATATTAACCATTGTAAAATTTGTGGTTGGCCTATTCATTTTAACAAAATTTAAAAGCGTACGTTTATTTTATATTTTCAGGTTTTTTGAAATAATATTAAATTGATTTTATCTTTATTTTATCTTTTAAAAATAATTAATATCATTAAAATAGCTTACTGTAAAATACTTTAATTTAGCTGGAATTAATTTTTGCTGAAATATCTTTTCAAGTTTTTTGTATGGAATTTTTACTGATTTTTGACGAATTGAATGTAAAATATAATAAAAGAAACTGTATTATCTTTCATAACAGCGCCCTCTATATTGTGAAGGTGATAAGAATGAATACTCATGTCATATCTTCTATCTTAGTGTTGAATAAATTTATTATTATTGTTAATATTATTACGTCCCGATAAACTTTGTAATCATGTTATCACTCATTTGCAGGTTTTATCTAAACACACATCATGTCTGATGATGAGGATTCAACACGTTTTAAACGTCAAAAAATCTATTATGGTTCCCTGGAAGGGAAAATTTCTGATGACAATGGAGGTCGTGGTGGTATGGACTTTGGTAATATTAACTTATCAGAAGGCAAGATAGTTTTATGTTTTCATTTTTTTAAATGTTAAACTGGAATTATGTCTGAAACGTCTGGCCTTCTTTCCTTACATTTTATGATGTCCAGTCTAGACAGATTTTACTGCATAAAACTTTGCTCAGATTACCATTTGCTTTGTTCGGTCGGTGAATGGTGTCTTAACTGAACCGCTTTTCAAGTACCATCTTCCTGGACATGCACCATGTCTTGTATGAACTGCTTTATGTAAATGACCTCTGTAGACTGCACATTATTCTCCAGTTTCATTGTCGTAGACTGCTGTCACTGTATCATATTTACGCTATTAGTAGTGCATGCTCTTACGTTAATGACTCAGACATGTGTTACGTGTTAATGATCCAGTATATGAAACATACAACTATTGGTTTACATGTGCCTCTAATAAGGCAAATATGATACATGGATATGTGATCATTTGAAATTGAACGATATTAAGTCATAAAATTGATTTGTAACTTGTGTGATACCTGTTGTCTATTGCTGATAACTAGGATACATTTCTCATTGTGGTAGTATCACCCACTGACCTGAATTCTGACCGTAAGATAATTAAAGTACATAGATCTGATCTCTATTTAATGTCAAGTTCATGTGGCAATAATACAAATTTTCACTGGTGGTGCTGTTCATATATGTATCACCAGAGGTACATTACTTGGGGTTTGCAACGTGCATAGTACTGTATGGTGACATCATGTCAAGATCCCATTCAATTCTCATCTCGTAGATAGCGAGACTGATGCTATGACCTTCTGACATGACATACAATGTATATCAATGTTCAAGGTTTACAATAAAACATGCCTCACCACTATCATAGTGAAAAAATGTAATACATCGAAAATGTACAGAAAATATAGTTATCGTAATCTGTCGTATCGTGAGCAGCTATTTTGTTCCACCTGGACTTCCCAGTATCCTGGTTACCTCGGGCATGTGCATTCGCATTTTTCTGAGTTGGGAACGCTTATGCGAGAGCGAGATTGAAACAGGATCTTGGTATCATGTCACCGAAGTTGCAAACCCCAAGTAATGTACCTCTGGTATAACCTAATGCTATACCCTATGATTCATTATAAGGAAATAACAATGCATGGTCAGGGAATTATAAAAATATCAGATTTCCCCATATAAAAATCGGTTCAACTCATGCGATGTACATACTTATCAAAGCAAGAACGAAAAAAAAATTTGAATAGTGAACTGGGTATGAAAACAATTCTCAGGGTTTTTTAATGAGAATTTTCAACATAATCCTAAAATGTCTACCGGTACTCAGTATTTTCCACAAATGAAGCAGAGTTGAATAGTGGTCTCTTATCCTGTCTTGCTTTGTTTACACACAATTATGGAAGTATTTAATAGTGTGTTTTATTATCAGGTGATCATTTTGATTTTGAGGAGCACATTAATGCACAGCGTGAAGAAATGCTTGCAGAGTTTGAGCGCAGGAAAAGAGTAAGTCGTATCATTTATTCTTTTGTACATTGGATTTGGATTCATAGTCACACTTCAACCTATTCACCACCAGACTTTCTCACCCAAATTTTTCTGCCCTTTTTTCCCTCATATTTTAGTAAATGAACCCTAATTTTGAAGCCAACAGACAAAATTTGAATCAATTTTCAGTTCTTACTCAAACAAAAAATTTGCCTTGTTTTTTCCAATCTTCTGAAGGAAAGTGCATACTATAGACAGAACTATTTTGTGAATTTGTGATGAAAAGAGGGAAATGGTGGTGAAAAGATTAGAGCAAGATTTTCACCTTGTTATTAGGAGATATTGAACATCTTGATTTTAATACATATTGTATTTGATGATGTAAAATGATTCTACAAATTTATTTTT